CGTATCCATCCCAACACAGTTCGACAACGTTTACGTCATCACGGGATCAGACCACGACGTCCCGCCATACGGCCTATCCTGACACAACGTCATCGACAAGCTCGCCGAATGTGGTGCCGAAAACAAGTCCGCAGACCCTTGTTTTGGTGGAGAAATGTTGTTTTTACAGATTAGTCCAGGTTTAACATTTCCCATAGTGATGGACGTCAACGTGCCTGTAGACGCGTGGGAGAACGTTATGCACAGGCCTGTGTCTTGGAGAGGAATCGCTTTGGTGGTGGTTCCGTGATGATTTGGGGTGCAATAACAGCACGCCAAAGAACTCTTTTGGTGATTGTTAAGGGCAATTTAACTGGTGTGAGCTACAGGGATCAGATTTTTCGACCTGTGGCAATTCTTCAACGTCATGGCCCTGGGTTAACATTCCAACAGGACAATGCCCGCCCTCATACGGCAAGGGTTGCTATGGATTTCTTGCAACACCACAACGTAGAAGGTTCCAGTCCTTACGGACATAGTTGGTTGGGGAATGACTACATCGTTGTGTTGTGTGCTGGCTGGCAATGAAACCCCCTTTATAGTTACTACAAGGCATGAGTTACTACAAGGCAATGAAACCCCCTTCATAGTACAAGGCAATGAAACCCCTTCATAGTAGAAGGCAATGAAACCCCTTCATAGTTACTACAAGGCAATGAAACCCCCTTCATAGTTACTACAAGGCAATGAAACCCCTTCATAGTACAAGGGCAATGAAACCCCTTCATAGTTACTACAAGGCAATGAAACCCCCTTCATAGTTACTACAAGGCAATGAAACCCCCTTCATAGTGAAACCCCCTTCATAGTTACTACAAGGCAATGAAACCCCCTTCATAGTTACTACAAGGCAATGAAACCCCCTTCATAGTACACTACAGGGCAAATGAAACCCCTTCATAGTACAAGGCAATGAAACCCCTTCATAGTACAAGGCAATGAAACCCCAATGAAACCCTTCATAGTTAGTTACACAAGGCAATGAAACCCCTTCATAGTACAAGGCAATGAAACCCCTTCATAGTACAAGGCAATGAAACCCCTATAGTAGGCAATGAAACCCCTTCATAGTACAAGGCAATGAAACCCCCTTCATAGTACAAGGCAATGAAACCCCTTCATAGTACAAGGCAATGAAACCCCCTTCATAGTTACTACAAGGCAATGAAACCCCCTTCATAGTACAAGGCAATGAAACCCCCTTCATAGTTACTACAAGGCAATGAAACCCCCTTCATAGTACAAGGCAATGAAACCCCTTCATAGTACAAGGCAATGAAACCCCCTTCATAGTTACTACAAGGCAATGAAACCCCCTTCATAGTACAAGGCAATGAAACCCCTTTCATAGTTACTACAAGGCAATGAAACCAAAACCAAAGTGGTCCTCCAAATGGAAGTAAGATAAAATGTCACTCCATGTCACCATGCTTCAATCCACGCCTGCTTCGCAATGTCAGAAGTTTGTTTCGACTGTTTGGCCACATTACCTGGTGACGATCCCGGTCTAGCAATATCGTACAGCATGTCAGGTCAGCTTTAGCAGAGAAGTGCCAGAGAAGGCCACGGGAGTATGTGTGACGCTAGTGACAGCGCTACAGCAGAGAAATCAGTAGAGAAGGCCTCATCACCTGCAACCACCACATAATTCCTCAGCACAGAGATAGAAGCTGTAAACACTGAGATCAGAATGTCTCAATCTAAACTAGCACAGTTACGAGAATTTCTCAAACCTAGGACGAAAAGGTGTTCAACAAGGGAGATGTCATCGCTAATAGGTTGACTAGACTTTGTGTGTGGCTCCATGAAGGTAATCTTTTCCTTAGCCACATGCATCATTGTGTGGAGTTGTGGACGTTCTACACCTAAGTAGTTAATCGGGGACATTTCTTTGGTGCCAGTATTCAATAGCGTTAATATACTGAACATCACTGAAAACGCACCAGTCTAAAATTATCCATATTTTAATCAAGATTGAATTCAGCATGACAATGATCAATGACTATGACTAACATGAAGCCGAAGGGCATGTCTAGTTGACAAAAGGCTTTAGAAACAAATTCATGTTCACAGTATGACTCTTTATTTCAAAACGCATCAACCTGCAGCCACTCCATGAAAAAAGCGCAAATTTCATTCTGAAATCATGCTGACTGTGACATTAAAAGCAGGTGTATAAGAAACGATTCCCATTGCTTCACTAACGATTGTGAAACGAGGACAGAGATGCCGAGGTTAACACGTCACGGAAGAGAACGTGCACTAGGCATGATACTGGGCAATATCCAGCAGCAGGGATATTGCTCGACAACTTGGACGGCCACTCCACCATCGTTGGGCTTCATAGACGACATCCGTGACCTTCAACGACCTTGGCAACAACGTGTCACGACCTTCCTTCAGGATCGCCATATTGACCTTGACCATATCCGTGATCAAACACTGTCGACTGCCAGGACTGCTGCACTGCTGGATTAGGTGCCTGACTGAGGGTGTGGGTTCAAGTCAACAAAAGTGCTAATATCGGTACTTTGCTGAGAAAGTGTAATCCCAAATATAACATGTGTTACATTTGACCACTTTCTAAAATGGCATTGCGAATAAATAATCTATAGACGCCGCCCACAAGTCACACCGATGAGTATACTTTTATATTATTCCCAAGTGACTAAAAGGAAGAAATGTGCCCAGACTGCAATGTAACAGTCGTAACCAAAAATGTTTACATATCAAGAGTACTATGAACCCTTACAATGAAGAGTTATACAATGACTGCAGAATTCATCGGTGTAATACCTTGAATCTTTAGCTGTATGGTTTTAGAATTTTGAAACTGAATTTTCTATGTAAATACCGAAAAGGTATTGTACTTTACATTAAAATTGTGTGCAATTTGGTGAATTAGTGCAAACATCATTCCTGAGATAAAGAGCTGTGTATATTTCCATTTTCGAGAACGTACGTTGCTTTATTGATCTCGCTTCGCCCCTGTACAATGAGAGTATGCTACGTGGTATCCTTACAACTGCTTCATACGTCATCCTTGGTTGTCTGATCAGCAGTCGTGTATTTGTCTTCAGTTGCCTGTAGTCGGCAGTTGTGTATCCAGTGATCCTCTGTGAACACTTGATCATGAAATCTGTGTGCTCAGGGTCTTCCAGGAACTGCTCCTGTTCTCGGCAGTTGTATTATCATATGTTGCATTGCCCGTGTCCAGCATGAAGGAATGCAAAGAACAAAAGGCACAGGAGGAGAGTCCTGTTGTTATCAAGAACATTGGCATCAAGATGTGCCAAGTGAGATGTATTGAAACTGGTGGCTGTTTGAGATTCGAATTCGATATTGAGACTTTAACTTGTCGTCTAAGACTCGGTGATTCGAATGGACTGGAGAAGAAGGAAGGATTCAAAGCTCATCTGAAGACACATTCAGACGTAAGTTGGAGGTATCTGTTAGTATGCATATGTAACCCTATCAAAATAAATAGGTGATTGTATGATTTTGTTTGAATTCCAATTAGGGATTTTGTTAAAGCATAATCATTTATTGAATCATGTCCTGTGAGCCTTCCACATAATCTGTGAACGTGAAGCAATTACTGGCAATATATGTCGTTAGACGAAAATGAATTTGAAGGCAAATTCAAATGGTAATGCTTATGACCAAGTCGAAGCACTATCTATACTAATGAATGGACGTGTATAAGTTCTCGAGCTGTTCCACTATTCACATCGAGTGAGTTGATATTTACAGCTCTTTCATTTCATTCTTAAAACAATTATGCCCCTTTTGGACATGGCTTTGATTCCTTCAAAGTACATAAATGGAAGATTTTCAAACATTGGGCATCGAGAATGTAGTTAGGCCGACTACCTTTTTGACTGACCCTCGTATCAACAAGTGAGAATACAAGAAATGAGCTTCATGCGTTGAACCCTAGTGAATTCGAAATTCATACTTACTGTCGACAGTACATATAAAAGCAAGACATGCTTCACACTGAATGCTCAGTAAAGAGCTCACAATAAATTCATGGGAGGGGACATAAATCGCCACGCGCAGTCGTTCATGGTTTTTTCACTTCTGTCTGAAGGTAACCCTTGGTCCCTGCAGTAGCACGTCATGCAGTCTCGGTGATAGATGTTTGGAGAGCCGATATGGAAAGCCTGTCTGTGTGAAAGGTAACTGCCTCCTGGATACTTTCCGATTGGTTACCATATGCTTGTTTTATTTTAGAGTAGGAGTCTTACCATGTTACAGACTCATGTATAGAAGTTTGGCTAGTGTATATCATGGGTATATGATAGGACTGGGCCAAATTATGATTTATTGTCTTGGGACTGTCTGACTGAGTTTGTTTTTTTACGCCGCTTTTAGCAATATTCCAGCAACATCACGGCGGGAAACACCAGAAAAGGGCTTCACACATTGTACCCATGTGGGGATTCGAACCCGGGTCTTCGGCGTGATGAGCCAACGCTTTAACCACTAGGCTACCCCACCGCCCTTGTTGTCTTGGGAACACATGGCTCTGGTCTAGAATAGGATCTAGAATAGGATTTCACAAGAAATACTCTCGATCCACAAATAGAAGTTTATACATTGTAAAAGGGGTTTAAGATATCTCTTGACGTCAGATTTCTTCACCAATTTTATTCATTATGTTGTTATTTTTTATTGTTTCGTCATTTCGGTATATATTCAAGCATATCTAAACATAAATACTTACTGTTCAGTATCTGTCGGGAAAAATATCTAGCCACAGATTACATAAGAAAAACGATGCTATAAACAAAGCTCTATATATGTCCTCCCTAATGTCCTTTCATTAAACTACAGGTGGAAGGACGCTTTATCCTTGGAGATCCCAGCAACAGAGAAGAGATAAGAAGAGCGGATCCGGAGACAACCTACTTCATGAAGCCTGTAGAGAGGGTGACTTAAGTCGGGTGCGGACAATCATGTCTAAGGGTCAAGTCGACATTGACAGCAGAGAGGAAGAGTACGGGTTGACGCCAGTGATGTTGGCAGCACGAGGGGGACATAGAGGTGTGTTTGAGATTCTAGTCGGAAAAAGATGTAATATGTCCCTTCTTGATAATAAAGACAACAACATTCTTCATATGGCCTGCTATGGAGGACAAATTGCGATCGTGAAACGTGTTCTCTCGCTTGACATTGTGGACATCAACAGTAGGGGTCATATTGGGAGCACGTGTGTGATGGTAGCAGCGCACCGGGGGAAAATAGATCTCTTAAAATACCTTGTCAGTAAGGGAGGCGATGTGTCCTTGTTAGAAAAAGCCGGTGACAACATTCTTCATATAGCCTGTAGAGGAGGAAACGTGGAGATGGTGAAGTATATTATCTCACAGGACATTGTGGACGTAAACAGCAAAGGACGTGACGCTAGAACAGTCGGGATGGTCGCAGCACATTTGGGATACACAAACATATTTGACTTATGTGCATGTGCAGGTTGTAATTTGTCGGCAGTTGATGCTCAAGGCAACAACGTTCTTCACGTGGCCATTCTCGGAGGACATATTAGGATGGTGAAGCATATATTCGCACAGAGAATTGTGAATATCAACAGCAGAGGAATGAATGGGAAGACACCATTAATGTTTGCAGCATTCGAGGGACATAGAAAAGTATTTGACTTAGTAATGAGTGAAGGAGGTAATGCTTCACTTGTGGACAAGAATGATGACAACATCCTACATTGGGTGTGTCGTGGAGGACACGCAGAGATGGTGAAGTATGTCATCTCACTGAACTTTGTCGATATCAACAGCAGAGGACATTACGGACGGACACCAATGATGGTTGCAGCAGCTAATGGACATAGACGGGTATTTGACTTGGTTATGAGTAAAGGAGGTGATGCTTCACTTGTGGACAAGAATGATGACAACATCCTACATTGGGTGTGTCGTGGAGGACACGTAGAGATGGTGAAGTATGTCATCTCACTGAACTTTGTCGATATCAACAGCAGAGGACATTACGGACGGACACCAATGATGGTTGCAGCAGCTAATGGACATAGACGGGTATTTGACTTGGTAATGAGTAAAGGAGGTGATGCTTCACTTGTGGACAAGAATGATGACAACATCCTACATTGGGTGTGTCGTGGAGGACACGTAGAGATGGTGAAGTATGTCATCTCACTGAACTTTGTCGATATCAACAGCAGAGGACATTACGGACGGACACCAATGATGGTTGCAGCATTTAAGGGACACAGAGAGGTGTTTGACTTGGTAATGAGTAAAGGAGGTGATGCTTCACTTGTGGACAAGAATGATGACAACATCCTACATTGGGTGTGTCGTGGAGGACACGTAGAGATGGTGAAGTATGTCATCTCACTGAACTTTGTCGATATCAACAGCAGAGGACATTACGGACGGACACCAATGATGGTTGCAGCATTTAAGGGACACAGAGAGGTGTTTGACTTAATACTGAGTGAAGGAGGTGATGCTTCACTTGTGGACAAGAGTGGTGACAACACCCTACATTTTGTGATTCGTGGTGAACACGTAGAGATGGTGAAGTATGTCATCTCACTGAACTTTGTCGATATCAACAGCAGAGGACATTACGGACGGACACCAATGATGGTTGCAGCAGCTAATGGACATAGACGGGTATTTGACTTGGTAATGAGTAAAGGAGGTGATGCTTCACTTGTGGACAAGAATGGTCACAACATCCTACATCTCGCCAGTTGGAAAGGACATGTGATGATGGTGAAGCATATTCTTTCTAAAACGTTTGTTGATGTTAATGCTAAAGATAAGTATGGAGCTACAGCGGCAATGATTGTAAAAAGAACAAAACACAAGGCAATGTATGACGTCCTAAAATTGTTAGTCTAATGGGGGCATTAACTGCCATATGTCATTTAAACACGTTGCACAGTGATATTCTATAACTGATAAACAAATATCTTCCTCGGATGATTTTTTTTGTCTCCAAAATGAAAACATCCTCTTTTGTAATAAATGGATTCCAGTAAATACCGTCAGTGTTTAAATAACTGTGCAAACAAACACTCATACACTAGTCACTATCACTCAGCACTCTCACTTTCTATGCCAGCGGCATGATGAAAAGGCAAGTACACTATCTCCACAGTTTGTCTCCAGTCTCCTAAACCATAAAGAACTAACAATGTCGGCTATCTCTCGCATCATTTTTGAAGCAGAGTGTCTTTTGACACAGAGTGTCTTGGAGGCACCCCAGATCCAAACACTGGCACGAACTGGACTTCGTCATCACCAGGAGATCCATGCTCAACCACGTGCTTGTCACTCGCACTTACCATAGTGCCAACTGCGACAGTGATCACTCCCTGGTCAGCAGCAAGGTGCGCCTCCGCCCCAGACGCTTCCAACGCTCCATGCAAAAGGGCCGCCCTCGCATCGACACTGCCAGAACACTGATGCCAGAACTGCGAGAATGCTTTGCTCAAGCCATCAATGAGGCACTGGAGGACTGCCCTTACAGAGAGTGCTACGGTGCGATTGGAGTTCATCCGCGACACCATGTACAAGACTGCCTCCGACACCTTCGGGAAAAGAGCAAGGAAGAGCGAGGACTGTTCCGAGGCTGGGATCGAGGAGATGGAGCCTGCCATCACCGCCAAGAGAGCCGCGCACCTCGAGTACTAAAGACAGCCCTCCGAGTCAACACTAGCTGCCTTTAGGGAAGCCCACAACAACGCCAAGAGGATCGCCCGCAAGTGCGCCAATGATTACTGGCTGAAGCTATGCAGCGACATCCAGTTCTCTGCAGACTGTGCAAACATCCGTACCATGTACGAGGGCATGAAGAAATCATTTGGGCCCTGCGCCATCAAGACCTCTCCCCTTAAATCCACCTCTGGTGACATCATCACGGACCGTGGCAAGCGATTGTAACAACTATCGCGGGATCTCCCTCCTCAGCATCATGGGGAAAGGTTTTTTCCCGAGTCGTCCTCAACCACCTCCAGCTGCAAGGCGACCAAGTGTACCCTGAGTCACAATGTGGATTTCGAGAGAAACGGTCAACGATCGACATGATGTTCTCCCTCAGGCAGCAACAGGAGAAATGCCATGAACAGAGATGTCCCTTGTTCCTCGCCTTCATCGATCTGACCAAGGCATTCGACCTAGTCAGTCGAGTGAGTGAGTTATTATTTAACGTCACATCGGCAATATTGCAGCCATATAGTGACGAGAACATAAATTAACATTGAAATGGAATTATGTATATAAAACACCTGTCGACGAAGGACAGTAAAACAACTAGAATATCACAGTTAAAATTAAAACTAGCGTGGAAAGTTAAAACTAATAGCACTAATTGGACAATACAATATAAAACAGGCTATAGATCGCCAACAACAGAAGGTAGATCACCATACTAGGGACCATGGGGACTTACAGTACCTTTGCTACCTACATGGACCCTAGCTGGATTTACATCATCCCTTCAGCAGCCGGCGATTGTAGTCAAATTGAGCTATATTTAAAATCACACAAATTCTACGCTTAAAAGCCTGGTAAGTTTGAAATTTACTTTGAGAGTTTTGGGACTTACGTGCCCTTCAGGAGGACAATAATTTTACAATACTTTAACCCCCTTGAGGGTACAGCTACTAACAATCTGAGTTATTAATTTAAACTTCAAATCATAAAATATTTATCTATTTACAAATCAGTTAGCAAATCTAATTCCTTTAAAAAATGCAATAATTAAATGAGAACTTATATTATTAAAAAGATCCTTCATAGTTCGTGATTTGAAATAGTTATCCCTTGTGATGGAATATTCAACACAGTCAAGCAAGACATGCTTGACCGTGATTCTTTCATCACAAGGGATGCAAAACGGAGGATCCTCACCTTTCAATAGGTATTCATGAGTATATCTTGTGTGGCCAATACGGCATCATCGCATGATGACCTCTTCAAACCTGGACTGACAACCCAAGTAGGTATAACCAATATAGGGTTTTATTTCATGTAATTTATTGATACCTACTTTGGTGTCCCACTTCTTCTGCATCAGATCACGGATGTAAGTTCTAATGCCAACTTTGTAATCTGAGTATGGAATAAGAAGTGGTGTCACAGACTTGTTAAGTGCGGCCTTGGCTGCAAGATCAGCCATTGTATTCCCAGAAATGCCAACGTGGCTGGGTAACCAACAAAAGACGATGTCGCATTGGCCAGTAGCAAAACATATACAATTCAACAGTTTCTAATAAAAGTGGATGTTTACAAGAAAGATTTTTAATAGCCTGAAGGCACGAAAGAGAATCGGAAAAGATTATGTATTGTTTATATTTACGGTGTTTATTAATATATTAAAGAGCTGTTAATATAGCGTTAGCTTCTGCTGTGAAAATAGAGCTGTTATTTGGTAGTCGAGAAGATATTGTTCTGGATCCAATGACAGTGGCACATGCCACCGCGCCATCATCCTTGGACCCATCTGTAAATAAGGATTTGTATGTATTATATTATTTTTAATTGGTTATATTCTTGTTTATATTGTAATTCATTAGTTTCAGATTTCTTAAAACTTTGTCAACTTCAGGCCTCACCAGTTGCCAAGGAGGAGAAGAAAGATGACGGGAAGGAGATATATTTTCAATAACAATGCCGGCAGCAGAAATGAACAGTTTAATTCTGAGCCCAAGAGGTGGAACAAAAGAAGATTTCTTGTTGTATAAATCCTCATAGAGGGGAGTGAAGACACAATTATATGCAGGGTTAGATTTGTTAGAGTACAGTTTTGAAATATATTGTAAAGATAGTTTTATACGGCGTTGTGCAAAAGATGGCTCATCTGCCTCAACGTAGAGACTGTCAATAGGAGAAGGTCTAAAGGATCCAAGACAAAGTCTTAGACCTTGGCGGTGGACAGAATCAAGAATTTTAAGGTTGCTTTTACAGGCTCCACCATACACGATGGAGCCATAATCAAGTTTGGAACGGACCAGTGATCAATATAGATGTAAGAGGGTAGCTTGATCCCCTCCCCACTTTGAATTTGACACAACTTTCAACAAGTCGAGTGCCTTCAGGCATTAAGTTTTTAAATATTTAATATGTGGTAAGAAAGTCAGATGAGAGTAAAAATAAATCCAAGCACTTCGCCTCTTTGACAACCTTGATTGGTGTGCCATTGAAAAATAGTTTTGGGTCTTTACGCGGTTTAAACAATTAGTTTTGGATTTAGAAAATTTAAAACCGTTTTCAATTGACCATTTATGAATTTTATTGAGACATAGTTGTAGTTGCCTCTCTATTGTATGCATATTTTTACCACGACAAGAAACATTAAAATCATCCACAAAAAGTGATCCATCAACTGAATCATTTAAAACCCTTGACAGGCTGTTTATTTTAATGCTAAATAATGTTACAGAAAAAATAATGCCTTGTGGGACACCCTGATCCTGATTGTAATGGTCAGACAGGGTTGAACCCACTCGGACTTGAAATTGCCTGTTTGTTACAAATTGGGAGATAAAATGAGGTAAACGACCTCTCAAACCGAAATCATGTAAATCATTTAAAATGCCGTACTTCCAAGTAGTATCATATGCTTTCTCCAGATCGAAGAAAATTGATAATACGTGTTGTTCATTTACAATAGCATTCTTAACATAGGATTCTAATCGTACTAAATGATCAATAGTACTTCGGTCTTTCCAGAAACCACATTGAATATCTGTAATAAGATTGTCGGTTTCCAAATACCAATCTAATCTATTGTTCACTATGCGTTCCATGGTTTTACGCAAGTGGTTAACGATATAGGGCGATAATTTAAGGGGTCTGTATGATCCCGGCCAGGCTTTGGTATGGGGATTACAACTGCATTGTGCCATGAAGGAGGAAAAGTCCCTGAAATCTAAATATGGTCAAATATTTCTAAAAGTGTCAAAAGACATGATTCAGGCAGATGCTTCATTAACTGGTAATGAATGTTATCATCACCAGCTGCAGTATCATGAGCTTGCTCGAGAACGGTATGTAGCTCATGTAATGAAAAAAACGTCATTATAATCTTCACCGTTATTAGAATCAAAATTATTGTTTTGCTTTTATTGTCGATTTTTATAGTTCTGAAATTCAGGGAGATAATTTGATGATGAAGAATTTCTGGAAAGAGTCTCACCAAGTTTATTGGCAATATCACACTTACCAGTTATCAATTTGTCACCATCTTTAAGATGATGAACAGAAGATTTACAACTTTTTCCTTTTATTCTCTGAATCATATTCCACACCTTAGATGTTGGTGACATATTTCCTCCAAGACTGGCGCTTGTTTTGTTATAAGCACGTCGTGCCTTGGCATTTGTAATTTTAACATTATTTAAGTTATGAACTGTAGGATGTCTGCGGAAGTACTTTTCTGCTTTCTTCCTACACTTTCTTGCTTGTTCATTATTAAACCATGGCTTACGAATATGAGGAGTTGCAGAGGACTTAGGAATTGACTGGTCAGCAATTTCATTCAACAGAGATGAAAACAACTCTATAGGATCTGGTACATTTTAAAACTTGTCCGATATTAATTTATCCATACACAATGTTTCATACAAAAACCAATTTGCCTTCGTAAAATTCCATCGTGATAAAGGTGGTTCATCGTCCGGTTTTATAGCTTTTAGGACAGTTTTGAAGCGATCACTTCCACAAAGGTCATCATGAACGGACCATTCAAATTCGTTGTAGACAGTTGAATCAGCAACGGACAGATCAAGAGTAGAATAGGTTCCTGTAGAAGGATGTAAGTAGGTGCTTGAATCCTCATTACAAATACGCAAACTATTATCAGAAACAAAATATTCAATAACTTTGTCTATATTATGTATATTTGTACTTCCCCATAGAGGGTTATGCCCGTTTAAATCACCCATGATGATACAGGGTTTGGATATAAAGCTTGTAGATCTGCCTGCTGTAAAGTCGAAGAGGGTGGGATATACAAAGAGCAGAGTGTTAAGGCAACGTGAAATGTTAGCCGAACTGCAACAGCCTGAAGATTGGTAGTGAGAGGAACAACACTATGTATGACACCCTGTCTTACCAAGATGGAGGAACCTCCAGTGACATTTGCACCTGGAGGGGAAAGTGATTATACAAATTGTATTTTCTGATATCACATTTGTCTGTGTCTCGAAGATATGTTTCTTGTAGATACATTGCTGATGGTGTAAAATATGTTTCCTGTATTAAAATCTGTAAATCTTTAAAGTTATTCCTAAACCCTCTACAATTCCATTGGATTATGTTGGACGATTGAGTCATCGATTGGCTCAATCGGTGAACGTTCTCGTCGTGAGGGCGGATTCCTACCGCTCTGTGACAAGGGGTTATGTCCATATCAAGAGCTGCAAAGGAGTTATGGACGACTATCTCTGAAGATGAAGGTTTTTTGGTTGCCTGTTTTCTATTTAATTTTTTTCGTTCATTTCTGGTCAAAGGTTGTACAACTGGCTCTGCTGTGACTGATAGACTAGGGGCATCAGGTACATCGTCATCAATTTGAGAATGATTCACAGTTTGAGTTGAAGACTTTAGCATTTTTGACTGGTTTTGCCACACAGGACATAACCTTGAGGAAGCTACATGTTGACCTTTCCAGTTTGCACACTGTATTTCAGCTGAGCAGTCAGTGTTCTCGTGTCCATCGCCACAG